TTATATCTCTCTTTTCATCACACCGGTTCTCTATTATATCTCTCTTTTCATCACACTGGTTCTCTATTATACCTGTCCTTTCATCACACCTGTTCTCTGTTATACATTTATTTTCAACACACCTGTTCTCTATTATATCTCTCTTTTCATCACACCGGTTCTCTATTATATCTCTCTTTTCATCACACTGGTTCTCTATTATACCTGTCCTTTCATCACACCTGTTCTCTGTTATACATTTATTTTCAACACACCTGTTCTCTATTATATCTCTCTTTTCATCACACCGGTTCTCTATTATACCTGTCCTTTCATCACACCTGTTCTCTATTATACCTCTCCTTTCAACGCACTTGTTCTCTATTATACCTGTCTTTTCATCACACCTGTTCTCCGTTATACCTGTCCTTTCATGACATCTGTTCTCTATTAAACCTGTCCTTTCATCACACCGGTTCTCTATTGTACCTGTTCTTTCATCACACCTGTTCTCTGTCATGCATTTATTTTCAACACACCTGTTCTCTATTATACCTCTCCTTTCATCACACCTGCTCTCTATTATACCTGTTCTTTCATCACACCTTTTCTCTGTTATACATTTATTTTCAACACACCTGTTCTCTATTTTACCTGTCCTTTCATCACACCTGTTCTCATTTATACCTGTCCTTTCATCACATCTGTTCTCTATTACACCTGTCCTTTCATCACACCTGTTCTCTATTATACCTGTAATTTCATCACACCTGTTATATACATTTTTTTCATTGCACCTGTTCTCTGTCATACCTGTTCTTTCATCACACCTGTTCTCTATTTTACCTCTTTTTACATTACCCCCATTTTCTTTTATACATACAGTCTGATCAGGATGAAGATCTGAAAACTCAGGTAAATCTGACTTACTAAACCTAACCCTAACTAAAAAAATACTCCTGCAAAATGWAACTTTGCATTCAAAACAGTATCACAGTAGCTTTTGTTTTTTTGGTGTGAAACCAAACTGAAATTCTTTATAAACATGTTTAACTGACAGCTTTCTCCATGTCACCTTCAGGAGACTTTAAGTCCAGAGGAGCTGCAGAACCCTCAGAGTAGCATCAGTGCTCTCAGACGCTCCTTCTTGGAAGGAGGACCAGCAGGAGGAGAGGAAAGAATGAGTGAGTGGGACAAACGTCTGCTCCGAGCTGACGACTCTCCAATGATTGAACCTCTGGAGCCAGAAGAGGTGAGTTGGGCCAAGAACAGACATGTGACACACTTACATCCATACACAGAGGTTTCCAGGTGTGACTGCAAGTGCCTTTTCACCTGAGGTGACTGCAGGTACTGTGGGGAAAAACCATATTGATCTCCTGCTGATTTTTTGTTTTCTCACTCACAAAAAAATAAACAATATATGTGTTTAAGGTGGTTTCATTTTATTGATGAGAAAGACAATCTAGAAAAATAAAAGCAAATGCATTACTTTAAAAAGTATGTATGTATGTATGTATGTATGTATGTATGTATGTATGTATGTATGTATGTATGTATGTATGTATGTATGTATGTATGTATGTATGTATGTATGTA